TGGGCCGCATGCGGCCCTCGGGCCGCAGGTTGGACAAGCCTGCTTTAGAATGTAAGAGCAACTTCTAAAATGTGAATCCTGTCTAATCGTGTATTTTCATCCATTCACTGTTACTAAATAATTTTATGAAACAATGAATTAATTTTTGAAAGGATTGTTTTCAGATCACTGCCAATCACCTCTATGCAAATAAAATAACCAGCATACACATTATACACATCCTGCTGATATGTTTTTTTTAAATATATTTTTATTCATTTTCATAGGGATTAAATGGTGCAGTTAGGGGGCTGGGTAAGAGGTGGGGAAGGGTAAGAAAGGGTAAAATTCCAGAGAGTGAAAAGTATTCTTACATCTGCTTATACAATTGTACAGTGGTACCTCGACTTGAGAATGTCCCTACATAAGAACAATTTGAGTTAAGAACGGCTTCGTTTGCAAAAAGTTGCTTCGATTTGAGAACGGAGCCTCGACTTAAGAACCAGAAAAAGAAAAACTTTTCCTGCCCTTTTTTTGACCTAAGTTCACCTTAGGTCAAAAGAAGAAGAAAAATCACTCCCTAGTGGTAGATACGGATTAACCAGCTTTGCATTAGTTCCTATAGGAACTAATGCTTCGACTTAAGAACAGCGCCTCGATTTAAGAACAAAAAACAGCAGATACGGATTAAATGGTTTTCAATGCATTCCTATGGGGAATGGTGCTTCGACTTAAGAACATTTCGACTTAAGAACACAGTCCCAATACAGATTAAGTTCTTATATCGAGGTACCACTGTATTAAAGATGGAAATCATACAAAGAAAAAAAATGCATTATAACAATTTTCGATAATTATCATTACTAATCTTCCATTTTCTTGGACTTTATCTTTAAGTTTATTAGTTTTATAGCTTTAATATTATTCTGCCATCTTATATCTATTGTTCTTTGGTTTAGATGGTATAAATCTAATATAATAAATAATAATAATAAATAATAAATTGTTCTATTGCTAAATCACTGTTATAACCATTAATTTGTGTTTATCATATATTCTTTCACCACAAAATACCTTCTTAGATTTAACAACGTTTACCTCCACTGCTCTATCTCTATATTCTAACCAATATTTTGTGCCCCTATTATCATGTCATCCTTCATTTTCCATCTTATGGACCATGCATCCATTCTCAAGAGCTTCTTTCACTCCAGGTATTGTCTCCTTTGCCTCATCTGCCACAAAATCTGTCTCATCATCTCAATTCTTCTCCCTTTCATATCAAAATTCATAGTAATTTGATGCATTTCCGCTGTTAACATCTCCATAAGGAGGATTAACAAATCGGCCACTGCATTGTATCTTCACCTTTTTCTTCGAGAAGCTTCTAGAAGATTGTCTCTGTTTGTGGTTTTAAAAAGTTGATTCTGCTATCGCAGTTTCACTTCTTTCTCCGTCTTCACTATCTTGACTGTAAATTCCATTTATGTCCCCACGTCTTTAGTTTGTTCAAATAGCTGATCCGTCTGGTTTCATCTGGTGCCATCCATTAAGTATAATGTTCTGAATATTCTTGAGGATATCTCGTTGTTCCATAATTGGAGGTATTATCTGAATTTCTTTCCAGCAGGTAGTGCCCACAGTAGTTATTCACAGTAATAGCTTGGGGCAAAAAGTTGACAGAAGGAAGGGCTTTTCCCCGATACTGTTTCTGGCTGCTTCACAGATTTAAATCCATTAGTAATTTATGGTTATATTGTCCTGCAGGAGCGAGTTTTATTGCTGCAATAGAAGCAGAGTTGTTTTTCTCTCCCTTTCCCTTCCTCTTCCTTTCTTTCTGTTTCTCAGCCAAGCCTCAGATGAAGGGGGGAAGGGTTTGTCAGTCTGGCCACATACAGATCTAGTCACTTTCTCTGACAGACTACACCCAATCTCTTCATTGTATTAGGTCCTTAGCAGTTCCATATGTAAAACAAGCCACTTACTTCAAGTTTGGTCAAGATTATTTTTCACAATCCTTTTGTACTTTTCCGATCTCTGTCTTGGGGCATTCAGAACTCTGTGCCAAAATGGCACCTTCTCAGTTTCTGACTTCAAGGAGAGGCCAATCCAGGGATCTCCCGACTCACCCCCATTCTCAGTCAGGTTCTGTTGCTTCAGACTTTCACTTCTCCTAGTAAAAGTCCTCCCCCCCCCCCAAATTTGAGGGGGTTGAAACTGAATGTCCTTGGTTAGTTTCAGGAGCCTCCTGGAAACTGGCCGATCTCACTGTGACGAAGCACCGCCTCACACATCCTACTGATATGTTGATGGTCTCCTTTCTATTTTATTTATTACATGCCACCCATCTAGACATTGTCTACTCTGGGCGGCTCTCAACAGACAAGATAAAAACAGTTAATATATAGTAACAGTTTTACAGCAATATACAATGAAAACAATAGTTCAAGATGGGAAGAAGAAAATTAAGTAGTGCCTGGAGGGAAGGCCTGTCTGAATAACCAGGTCTTAAGTTGTTTTTTAAAAATACCCAGCGAGGAGGCCAAATGGATCTCAGAGGGGAGTTTGTTCCAAAGAGAAGGAGCCACTGCTGAAAAGGCCCGGTATATTTTTCTTTTCTTTCTGGACCTCCCTCGGCGTTAGTCTCCTCAGTCGCCCCTCCTGACTGGATCTAGTGATATGGGTAGATCTAGGTGGGAGGCGGCGTTCCGCCAAGTATTGAGATCCTAAACCGTTTAGGGCTTTGTATATAATCATTAAAACTTTGAAATTATCGCGGAAGCGTACGGGCAACCAATGCAAGGCGGCCAGGGTGGGAGTGATATGTTGGTTTTTCCTCACTCCACTGAGAAGTCTGGCTGCCGCATTCTGCACCATTTGGAGTTTCCGCATCAATCTCAAAGGTAGCCCCATGGAGAGTTCATTACAGTGGTCTAATCTTGAGATTACGAACGCATGGACCAGAGTGGTGAGCGCCCCAACATCAAGTAAGGGATGCAGCTGGGCAGTCCGCCAGAAATGGAAATACAGTGGTGCCTTGCAAGACGAATTTAATTCATTCCACGGTTAATGTTGTCTTGCAAAAAATTCATCTTGCGAAACACGTTTTCCCATAGGAATACATTGAAATCTAATTAATGCGTTCATATGGGCAAAAAAAGTCACAACAAAGTCAAATTTGGTTTACAAAGAGTTTATTAAGTGCTCTTTAAAGCCATACATATTGTGCAGATGATTTCAAAAATTTCAGTCAAAAAACTTTAACTCTTTAAACATCATAGAAAAACATATAAAAATCAGCAAACATGAGGCAGTAACAAAAAACGAAAAACATTCATCTTGCAAAGCACAGCCATAGGAACAGTCATCTTGCGAGTCATCCACCCCATTGCCAAAACCATTCGTCTTGTTAATCTTATGTCCTGCGAGGCATTTGTCTTGTGAGGCACCACTGTATACGGAACGGACCACTGACGCCACTTGAGTTTCCATGGTGAATGCCGGGTCCAGATGTATCCCCAAGCTGGAAACCTCACTCTTTGAAGTAAGAGTCACACCCCCAAAAGAGGGGGAGTTTCCCAAACTGCCAAGGGTGGGCCCACCCACCCTAAGGCCCTCCGTCTTTTCTGGGTTCAGCCTCAGCCCATTTTCTTGCATCCATTGCAGTACAGTCTCCAAGCAGTGCTGAAGGGATAGAACAGCATCCACTGTGGTTGGAGAAAAGGAGATGTAGAGCCGAGTGTCATCAGCATACTGATGGCACAATGCCCCACACCCCCTGATGACCCCACCCAGCGGCCTCATATAGATATTAAACAGCATTGGAGAGAGGGTCGAACCCTGCGGAACTCCACAATTGAAGTTCCACAGGGCCAAGTCCCCCACCCCATGCTGAACTCTCTGAAGACGGTCTTCCAAGAAGTCCAGGCCACCAATTTCCAATTTGGAGAGCCTCCTCAGGAGGATACCATGGTCGACAATATCAAAGGTAGCTGAGATATTGAGGAGGGCCAACAGGGACATTTTCCCTCTGTCAGCCTCCCTCAATAGGTCATCTAACAGGGCGACCAATGCTGTTTCTATACCGTAGCGTGGCCCGAAGCCCAACTGGAATGGATCCAGGGTGTTTGTTTCATCCAAATGCACCTGAACCTGATCGGCCACCACCCTCTCAACTACTTTACTAATGAAAGAAACATTGGCAACAGTCCTATAGTTGCCAATATCGCCCGCCACCAAATTCAGTTTCTTTCTAATAGGCCTAATGAGTGTCTCCTTGAGGGCGGGGGGGAACCCTGCCCTCAAGGAAAGACCCATTAATTATCACTGTGGCCCATTCAGTTGTTATAGGCCTGGCTACTTTGATTAGGCAGGCCGGACAAGGGTCAAGAGATGAGGTGGTGGCCTGACAGCGGTTTAGCACTTTGTCCACAGTATTTGGCATGACAGGCTGAAAGAGATCGAGACTCACCAGGCAAGGTGGAGCACTGGACATCTCTGCTCGGTCCACTGTATCCAAAAAAAGGAGAAATTTCCCGGGGGATGGCCTCCACTTTTGATTTTAAAAATGCTGCAAATTGGTCAGGTGAGATACTAGAAGGAGGTGCATCACTTAGACCAATTCCAGATAGGTCACAAACTATACGGTAAAGTTCTGCCTGCTGATTTGAAGCCTCGCTTATCTGGTTAGCGAGGTGAGCTTAACTATCAGCCCTTATCTTCGCATGGTAGAGGTTAGTCGTGACCCTGACAGCTTCCTTATTATATTCCATTGGTTTCCTTCTCCACTTGCACTCTAGCCTTCTCCTAGTTTGCTTCATCGCTCGTAGTTCCTGATTAAACCAGGATGCAAGCTGAGCTCTGCATTGGAGAGGGCATTTAGTAGCGATCATGTCAACAGCCCTAGTGGTGGCTGTAAACCAGCCTTCAGCCAGAGCCTCAACAGGAGCACCAGCCAGATCTGCTGGAATCCCTCTCATGGTATCCTGGAATCCTATAGGATCCAGTAGCCTTTGAGGGTGGACCATTAAAATAGATCCATGCTCCTTGCAAGGTGGGAGGGCCACTGAGAGGTTACATATTATTAGGTGGTGATCCGACCATGACAAGGGAACTGACTCAACGTCAGTCACCATCGGACTACGCTCACTCCAACTGGTGGAAAAAACCATGTCTAGCGTATGGCCTCCCACGTGGGTGTGGCCATTAACATGTTGGGACATGTTCAAGGTATCCATGGTTTCCAAGAACTCAAAAGCTGCACAAGATGTCTCGGCCTCCGCATGCATGTTGAAATCACCCAAGATCACAAGCCTCGGGGATTCCAACAATGCCGCGGAGACAAAGTCCACCAGCTCTGGTAAGGAGATGGCTGGGTCATGGGGAGCACGGTAACCCAGCAAAATCGCAATACCATCCCTGGCCCCTATCGACACATGGAGGGCCTCCAAACCTGGCTTCAGCACTGCAGAGCACCTAGTAACCTCCAGGGTGTTTTTATATACAATGGCTACTCCCCCCGCCCATCCCTCCAGTCTACCTTGGTGCTGTACAGCATAACTGGGAAGACAGGCAAGGGTCAAGGGCGGACCCCCTTCCCCACTAATCCACATTTCGGTTATGCACGCCAGGTCTGCATCCTCTTCCAGAATAAGATCATAAATAATCTGGAATTTATTAGTTACAGACCTGGCATTCAACAGCACTGATTTCTAGCATGTTTTTTTTCTTGGTATGTATGAGGTCTCCACCCTCCCATGGAGCAGCATTCAGACATACAGGATAACCTAAGTGGTTATTGCAATAAACCTATCTGCCATTTCAGTCATAATAGGAAGCAGTGGCTTTCCAAGAACAAGACACAGCGGGTTTTGGGCTTCAGTGTTCCTGCTCCTCTCATTTGATCTTTGGCACTTATGAGGAGAGGAAGTTGCTATGTTCTACTTTTGAACTACTAGGATTTCCTGCTTTGTTTAAACTATGACTGATAACAAGCTAGAATCAAACCATGGTTTCAGATCCCACTGTCTTCTCAAACTACAGTTACCCCAAGTTGAGATGTCATAAAGCAATGGTCCCCAACTTTTTTGACACTGCAGACCGGTTGGGGGGATGGGATCCGTGTGCAGGGGGCAGGCCACCCCTTCCATGCATATGTGAAGGGGCAGTGCTCATTTGCACAGACGCACGGCACACACACCTGCACAAAGTGGCAGGGCACGCATGAGGCGTGCACACGCATGCACAAAGGGGCGGGGGTGCGTATACTCACGCGCGTGCACAAAGGGGCAGAGGTGCATGCATGTACTCACACAAAGGGGCTGTGGGGGGGAAGGGCGTGGGAGATTTGTCTCCATGGACCGGTCCAGGCCGCAAACCGAGGGCTGGGGACCCCTGTCATAAAGAACTGGCTTTTTTAAAAAGGCTTCTTGTCTTGAGTATGAAAAAGAAATGCATAATTACATTGTTTACTGAAGTAATTCTTGGTAGCAAGAAACAGTAGTTTCCTGTTTCCAACAGTTTTACATGTTCATATTTTGTGGAGAAGACTAATCCTTCCTTTACTTTAAACCAGAGATACATTTTATAATTTTCAAGGAATAGTTAACTTTTCTTTCTTGCCATGCTTCCTACAGTGGACCTTCGACTTACAAAGGTCCCTACTTACGAAAATTTTGAGGTAGGAAAAGCTCCAGCCACAAAATTTTGGATCAGCTTGCAGCCAGAGCTTCAACCTATGAAAGGCAGGGGGAAAGGGTGGGAAATTCAAAGCTGCACCCACTGCCTGCTGCCTCCCGTCCCTGCTGCCCCGCAGGGACAGGAGGCAGAGGGCAGCGGGGGCAGCTTTGGAAGCCCGGCAACCCAAAAACCACTCCGACTTCTGCGCCCACGGCTGGCTTTCAGCTTGCCGGACTTCGAAAGCTGCAACTGCTGCCATGTCTTCTGTCCCCAGTGCCCTCTGCCTCCTGTCCCCGTGGACAGAAGGGCACCAGGGACAGGAGGCAGAGAGGAGCAGGTGCAGCTTTCGAAGTCCATGATTTATTTTCTTTGGCTGGAATGGATTAAATGGTTTTCAATGCATTCCCATGGGAAATGGACCTTGACTTTTTGACCTGCGGCCACCATTCCAATACAGATTAATTCCGTAAGTCGAGGGTCCACTGTACTTCTGTAAATCTTTTTCCTTTATTACTGTTAATGAATTTATAAAATATAATTGCTTACCACTTCATGAATTTTCTAATATTCAGTCTGCTGTAAATACTAATCAAGATGTTTATAATTAAATCTGCAGATGAAGTTGTTGAATCTTTATATCAAACGGGCTCAAACAGGCTCTGGAGCAGGTGATGCAGCAACAGATGTTCCTGGACAAAGCTAGTGATGCTGATGCCTGCATGCTTGATCGTGCAAAGAAACAATGCATCTGTAAAAGGAAAAAAATCTCAAACACATTCTGGAACTCTTCATTTTTTGTAGTTTTCTTTTTAATTTTTCTTTCTTCTTGTTTCCCCTTAATAGAGGGCTACTCTCAGCCTGCATGTGACTGTTGCAGTTATTCCATATCCAAAGGAGAAACAGTATTAATATCACTTGATCAAAGCAAAATAAATTTAAAAAATCTAATCCATCATGTTTTCTGTTCACACTCCTCTGTGTGCTGTCCCATCAATTTTTATCAGTGTTACAGTACATTAAAAAAAAACAGGAATGCTTCAGGCTTTAAAAGCTAAAGTCTAAATTTCCTTGTTTTTATTTAGCTGCAAAATAACATGACTACTTACTGTTTTTATAGTATCATGTTTTTTTCTTGGACACATAAGTGGCAGGACACAAGAACAACAAAGCTGGACTGGTCTGAACTGCCAGTAGATTTAGATCAATGTGCTGGAGATACATCCTCATATGGCTTTCTTGACTCAGAGAATTGAATCTGAACACATGCAGTGCCCATAAAAAGCTGGATTGATCTAGCTGTGTAAAAGTGGTTATAGTTCACTGTTTGAATATGTTTGTTCCATAAATAAAAATGCAATGCAAACCAGGAGGACAAAGCAGGTAGTGCCTCCTTTGTGTCAGGGTTCAGTAGAAGAGGCACCAGGATGGTCCAGAGCAAGACCACAGGAACAAGGTAGAACCAACCCCACAACCCAAGCAGAGACCAACCAGCTGGAGCTTTGAGTCCACCGGGTGGAAGGATAATGCAAATTGTGGTCAGACAGTCCAGGGGTCAAAGCCAGGAGGAACCGTATCAAGGCAGCATGGTCTAGGGATGCAGGAGAGGCAAGGCAGGAACAGGCAGGCAGGTCAGGAACAAGGAGGCAAGACAGGAATATCCCCACAACACAGCCAGAGACCTCCGTTGTTGAGGCAAAGGCCTGCAGCGAAGACCTGTTCTTATATAGCTCAGTCTTCAGCTTCCCCAAGTGGCACTCCTGAGGAGCTGAGCAACAGCTGCAGGAAAAGGGCCCAGCCCTGCAGTCTTTAGAACAGTTTCCCCCAGAGAGATGGGGCCAATCCTGCCTGCAGTAAGGTTGCCGTTTTCCAGCAAGGCCCCAGTCCTGACACTGTGTGGAAGACAGCCCACTTGGATTACAGTATTGCAGAACTGGGGTTGGGTGGCGGCTCTTCCATCCAGGGAACAAGCAAAGGCCCTTCACAGATGGAAACCATCCTTGTCACCATCCCTTCTTCAAGCAGTATGCTTCAGAGTGGAGTGCTCTGCACAAGCATGCTCAGTATGCATTTATCTTTATCACTAGAATGTTTCCTTGCAAGCTAATACTGGAACCAGTAGTTCTATCATTTTAACTCACATAGGGATACATGACAGCACTGCAGAAAACTTTTCAGCTATTACTTTTTGCAAGAATGGTGGTTTCTGCACTGAATATTAAGGGAGGTCTGGGGAAGAATCACAAGCACTATACTCCTTGACACCATTGATTTTGGGTTGTAAATGAATGAGTTAGAGGAAGCAGCACTAAATTTATTGCATGGTTCTCTTGACATGATGTCATCAAGATCATCTAATTTAAGTTATGGAAATGTTTTCAGGTTGTTTCTGTGAATTTTTTAACTTTATTGTGAATAAAGCATCTTTGTATTTATGGACTTAAGAACTGAAGAGACAGTGGAAATCAAGCAAATGTCCTAAGAGGCTTTTGTTTCTCAGATGTAAACACCAGGCTACTTAACAAAAAGACGGGAGTGACATCAGCACCCTTCTTACAAAGGCTAGAACCAAGATTCTGTGACTAGAGTTACATTATCTAGTTTTAGGGGTTGTGTCTTCACAGGAGAGAAAATAGCAGTGCCAAGGATGATGATTTTCTGTGCTAGGCTAAGATTCTCTCTACCTCTTCAAGGCGAATACTTCTGATTAAGCTGCTACCCATAATGTCTTGTGAAAAATCTTGTCTATAGATATATTTTTTTATGTTATTTTTGGTTCCTTTTGCTATTGTGTATCCAAGGCCCAATTCTTTAACATGCAGCCAAATATCATTTCTAAAAAGAGCTAATAACAGTTTATTTGCTTAATACCTTTGAGAGAAAAAGTGATTATTTGCAGTTACATAATATAATAAGTTACTTAGACTTGGATCAGAAGTTATTCTGACTGAGAAAGATGTGGTTATTGAAAAAGCAATTTGCTGTTGCAGAAAGCTGTTTATTGGGAAAATATTTTAGAATTATATGTAAAAAATAATTGCATTATTCATCACTGGCTTTTTTAGCAGCTACATCAGAAAAATAGTCTCCCCTTCCTCATTCCCATAAGTGTAACATTTTGTTTTCTACTGTTCAATTGTGTATTTATAGTTCTCTGCTTACCATTGTGCATATACAGGCAATAAAATGTACATAACATTACTTGAAAAAATATTGAATACAGCTGTGTTTCTGCTTTCTTTAGTATTAGTTTTTATAATTTATAATACACTAATGTAAGATTACCATTTTTGCATATTTTTAGCAAGTGTAAATGGTCTAGGCCGGGGAGTGGGAAATATGCTACAAAAATAAGCTTGTCAAGCATAAACTAATCTCAGTCCAAAGTGCCAACAGTAAAACCAATTTAACAAAGTTAATTGAGAAAGCATAAAATATTCATCATACTTAAAAGCTGGTTCCTATGGTTACATTTATTTAAAATTAACCTATAACAGTCTACTAAGTGTCTAGGCAGCCTTCCACATGTATTGCTGATTCACAGCTGGAGGCAAGCATATCTTTTTCATGGAAAGGGTGATTGATATGCAAAAACACTGCCAAATAACTAATGGGGGGGAAGTGTCACATAGATTTAAGTAGCTTTTAATGCAATGTATGGGATTACAGTCCATTCATCCATATATTTGTATCTCACATTTCCATTTAATGGTACCCAAAACAGCTCCCCACACATCAAATAATAATAATAGCAATTAAACAAACAAACTGGCTAAAATCTTATCATTTATGTACATCAGTATAAGTCAAATAGCATAGAATAACTGAGTTGGAAGGGGCCTAATGCATGAATCGAAAGCACAGCAGATTTGACAGATGGTTGTCCAGTTTTCTCTTGAATGCCTCCAGCATTGGAGCTCTCACCACTTCCCAAAGTAATTGGGTCCATTGTCGTACTGCTCTAACAATTGCAAAATTTTTCCCAATATTCAGCCAAAATCTAGCTTCTCGTGATTTGAACCCATTATTCTTTGTGGTCTCTGTGAATGCACACTAATAGATTAATCTGTGCAGAGGAGCCTCTGAATATTCCAGAGCTCAAGCACATGGTGCCCTTAAGCCCGCCCCCCCGGCACTGAGTGCTTCGGTTCCTTTCTTGCCGCCACTGTCGTTAGGAACTTTCCATTTACCTTTCCCTTTCAAAGTACAGTATATTACATTTGTTGTGGACCTCCCAGACTTCGGACATGGACCACTCAACATTTCTTCTGCGTGAGTTTGGCAAAAAGAAAATAATCAGACTGTTATTTCTTGTGTTGAGGAGCCATAAACTTGGTTATGGCTGCCCTGGGCCTCTTCAAGAGGTGTGAGACTTGCCCCAACAAGGTAGCCCTCTCCGATGGGCACTCCCGCTGTTTGTTCTGTCTCAGGGAAGAACACCAATCAGCTCTTGGCGGGGTGTATAAGAACTTTACTAAGTCAGTTCTTAAATTGAGGCTTCAACATCTCCTTTTTTGTGAGAAAAGTCTCTTATCTCCATCTCAAGGGGCTCCTATGGAATCACCTCAGGCTGTGGGGCATTCTTTGCTTTTGGGCTCTCTGCCTCCTCCTAAGGCTCCGAAAGGACCTAAGATAGCATCCAAGCCCCAGCCGTTGTCCTTGGGTTTGATGTTGATGGCTATGGTATTGACACTGAAGCCTCCTTCGGTGTCAGCCCTGAAGAAAAAGAAGAAGGTGCAGAAGCCCAGGCACTCAGCAGAGAAGACTGTGCTGTTGACGCCAATAGTGGAAGTATCCCAGCGAGAATCTATATGCCTGAGCATACCGTCGGGGAACGAGGACGGTCCGCCCCTGATGCTGGAGGCCATGCCATCCCCATGTGTCAACTGCTCACCTGACTGGGGGAAAATCTCGGCTGAGGTCATTTAATTGACTCAGGCTAGCCTGCAGTCTCCTTCGGGCTCATCTGTTTGTCATGTCTCAGCTTCACCTCTGGAGTCGGTACAGGGCGATGTACCTAGAAAGAGGACTCACAGGTCTCAGCATCTGGAGCCGCCAGCTGAGCCTGAACCCCCTCGACACTGATCAGGGTATGGACCCAACTACTGTTCTCAAGAGTTTGAAAGGTGATACAGTACTTCAGCCATCAGCCCTATTTCGAGCCCGATAACTTCATGCCTGACCAGCGTACATACTTGAGACTCTACAGAGTCGATCCCTACTACCGGTACCATTGGCCTTATGATTACTACTCTTGGTATTCACCATCTCCTTCACCTTCTCCTCCATGGTATCGTTGCATTGATGATTGCTTTGCTGAGCCCGAAGGAGACTTCTACCCTCCTGTTCCACCCCAAGCCCATAAAAGGCCTTTGCCACTGGACTATGCTTCCCCTATGGAAGCGAAGCATTTCCATCGCCTGGCATTGGGCCTGGAGGATGCCTCTACATCAGAGTCGGTTGCGGACCACCCTTATTCGCTGGCTAGACATTCATCTAAAGGTGACAGGAATAGACCTGGTGCCCATATCGACACTGGAGCAACTCAATCTGCCCCCAGCCTGAGAGAATTACTCTCCTCGACCATGTTCCCCTCAATTCAAATTGTGCACTATCTGACGGAGAGGATGAATCTCCTCCAATTGTCCCTACGCCAATCTCGGAGGTGGCAGAAAATCACCCTCCCTCACCACCCAAGGACTAAACTTTGTACTCCCAGCTTATACTTCGCATTGCGAAGGTACTTGATTTAGCTGTGGAGCAGCCAGCATCTCATAAGGTAGACAAGGTGTATGAGGACATCACTCATGATCAAAATCCTCCCCTTTGCCTTGGCTTCATTCTGTCATGCTTGGCTATGTTCAGCAGGCATCTCAGAAGATGAAAGGTCAACGATCGAGGAGCTGCCTTTTGATAGGGGTAGGTCTTTTCAATGAAAAAAAAACAGATCTTTGGCAATCTTCTAAAACTGAGGAAGACAGCTAGATCGTACTCTGCTCAGCAGTATCACCCTAGGAATACCTGGTGTCG